TTTCTTCATCCTTAGCAGCCAATAGAATGTCATCCATATAATGGATACATCTAATCTTTGGAAACTCCTCCCTTAAAGGGGCGATAGCCTCTGCAACAAACAATTGACACATAGTTGGACTATTGGCCATTCCCCGTGGCAGCATTACCCATTCGTATCTCAAATCAGGCTGCTCATGATTACATGAAGGCAATGTAAATGCAAAGTCTTTGAATTTTTGGCACATAAAGGTATAGAAAAGAAACAATCCTTAATATCTATAGAAATAATAGGCCAGGCTGTGGGCAAAGAGGCTAAAAGTGGAAGGCTGCGTTGTACTGGGCCCATAATTTGCACCTGCTGATTAATAGCTCTAAGATCCTGAAGCAATCTCCACTTGCCAGAACTTTTCTTAATTACAATTATGGGAGTATTCGATGGAGACACAGAGAGCTTTATATGTCCCAAATTCAGCTGTTCTTGCACTAGAGTTCTGGCAGCCTCCAGCTTTTCAGAGGAGAGTGGCCACTGGGGAACCCATACTGGCTCCTCTGTTTTCCAGGTAATGGGAATACCTCCCCCAGCGGCCCCTAGGAAAAACTCAAACCTAGGTTCTTTGGTCTTTGCTGTGGAATAATGAGACTAGTGCGACCCTGCAGATGTTTTCTGAGACCCCGACCTGGGACGTATCCCATTCCTTTCATGATGTTTTGAGATGCCTCAGAATATTCATTGGTGAGCTTCAAACCCATGTTTTTTAGTAAGTCTCTACCCCACAGTGAAATTGTTAACTGTAATACATAAGGCTGAAATGTCCCAGAGTGCCCCTCCTGATTGCTCCAAGACACTGTCGGGCACTGATGTCAGGGGCCTTACCGTAGCCTAACCCTTGTAAAGTTTGGGAGGAGAGTTGTATAGGCCAGCCAGAAGGCCAATCTTTGGTGGCTATGATGCTCTTATCAGCTTCAGAATCTAATAAGCCTAGAATTTTCTTACCATCTACTAGGAATTCTAAAGTTGAGTGGTGGTCGAGATCTAGGGCAAGGAAGGTCAAGTTTGATCCCGTGGAACCAAAGCCTCCTTCTCCCTCTCCCTGGTTTGAGCTGGAAATTTATCATGTAGACTTGGCAGAAGCAGCAGCTGTGCTATCCTGTCTCCAGCAGAAATGGCTGTAATCCCTTTAGGGGATTCTACCATAATCTTTACCACACCTGTGTAATCAGGATCTATCACTCCTGGATGTACTCGTAGCCCTTTTATGGTTGCAGATGATCTTCCTAGAAGCAGGCCCACTGTACCAGGCTCAAGGGGTCCTTTAAAGTCAGTGTCTACAAGTTGGACCCCCATCCTGGGTGTTAATACAAGTCTGGTGGTGTAGCATAAGTCCAGCCCCGTGGAGCCTGAAGTGGCTCTACTCAGTCCCTCGGATGTCGAAGAGAGGGCCAGGTTTCGGGGTTCTGCTCTTGGGCTTGATTCTCCATGGTCCCATATATTTGTGGGCCCTGGGGCCTTGATATCCCTGATCAAAAGGCTGTCCGTTAATGCCTTTCATTGATCTACAGGCAGTAGCCCAATCATCTCCTTTCTTGAACCTAGGGCACAACCCTGGCTTAGGCCGCTGGGTGGAGCCACTGCCTCTGTTACTACTTCCTCTTTCAGGGCATTGCCTTTTAAGGTGTCCTTGTTTGCCGCAGTTGAAACAGGTCCCTGCATTTCCTCCTTTCTTACTTAGCTGCATCACTGCAGCTGCTGGGCCTGCATTGGTCAATGGACCTCCTAACTCTCTACAGACCTTCATCCAGACTTCAAGGCCTTTACCTATATATAGGGTTATAGCAGCCTTACATTCCTTTGTGCACTGTTCATAAACCAACTGCTTAATCAATGGCATAGCAGTATCTGTATCCCCAAACACTCTTCCTGCAGCTTCTACCATTCTAGCCACAAAATCTGAGAAGGGTTCCATAGGGCCTTGTAATATCTTTGTAAGGTTTCCATTGACTTCACCTCTATTGGGCAGAGACCTCCAAGCCCTAATGGCTATTTGGTTAATCTGATCATACACTTGAGGGGGATATCCTGTTTGTTGTTGCGCAAAACGACCCAGACCAAGTAACATGTCTACATCCCGGGCAGGGTTACCAGCCACGAGGTTAGCCGCACCTTGATCATTGGCAAATTCAATTTGGAAAGCTCTCTAATCTAAATATTGTCCTGGTGATAGACAAGTGCTTACCAAATTCATCCAATTGCCAGGTGTCATGCAGAAGTGATTAAGTGCTTCCACCTGGGCAATTGTATAAGCCGCCGTCACCCCATAGGTGTGTACCGACTCTGCCAGGGCTTTGACTATTTTAAAGTCAAGCGGCTCATGATATCTCTGTCAGTTACCCTTCTGGAAAACTGGATAAGCTAGTGGCCAGGTAATCCGAAACTCGGCACGAACAGTGCACCACACTTCCGGGCAGAAAGTATTGCAACCGGGAACTTGTAGTTCCTCTGGTGAACAGTAGGGTGGAGGAGCGGAAGGGTGGTGCCCTTGCTTTGCAGTAGCCATTTTAGGGTGCTGCGTCTCCGGTGTTCTTAAAGAATGTTTTCCCATTAGCTAGAAAATCTCTTCCTCCTCATCCTCCGAGAGGTCCTCCTCTGTTTCTGAATCTTACCCCGATTCTTCTGATTCTCTCCTCAGCTCCCTTAATGAGGGATAGATTTGTTTCTTTTTCCCTTTCTGTTTCTTCTTCCTAACCTCGCCTTCTGATTGTTCTGATCTTTCTTCCTGGAGCATCTCGAGGGCAACCCGTCCTTTCTCTATAGCCTTTTTGTTCCCCTCTTGATCCTCCAGACAAGTTTGTATCAGCCGCCATACTGGCCTAACGCATGGTTTCAGCATTCCTTCTTTCCAAGCAAACTCCAGGTCTTTTCCCAGCTTATCCCAGCTAGCCACAGAGAGGTTCCCTGAAACTGCGAACCAGGGTGCAATGACATCTCATTCACTCAAAAACCTCTGCAACATGGCTTTGCTTAAGTTTAATTTTTTAGAAAGAAGCAGCTCCTGAAGAGCCAAAAAAATTGGGTGTGACTGTGACGACCCCATTATGCCTTTTTAAAGTCTACTCTTTTAGTTGGTGCGCTCCGAAGGTGTGCAAGTTGGATAACAGCACCAAAAGACAAGAGCCCACACTATAATATTAAACATTAGCCAAATTATCACCACAAAAGCCGGGTCCATTTGCTTTACTCTCACTCTGCAAGCTAAAGCAGACGCGAGGTCTTTTACTTCCAGTTCGCCTTAGCTGTGAACTGTCTTGCTCCTAACAGAGACCTTATTGCTCCTAACCGGAGAACTTATTGCTCCTTTCTGCCATGTGGGATTTTCCAGTGATTTTGCTGTGGCTACCTCAGCCAGATTTCTGTCCGTAAGTCTTCACAATTGGCAGGATGTATTTAGCTGAAAGCGAAGGAGTCTCTCGTCATACTAGATTCATCCTGTAAGCGAGGCGTATGATGCCACCCGCTTAGATGCCCAGCGGTGTGGCTGGCTGCTGCGTGTAGCAGCAACACCGTTCTCCTGCCATCTTCCTTCCTGGCTGTCCTTGGTAGGAGTGCAGGATGACGCAGGACCAGCCGGAGCAGTAGGCGAACCCCAAACAGCTGTCGGGTAGACGCCCTTCCTCACTTTGAGGGTCCCCTGTTTCTCACTGATCCTTAAATACCACAGTTACACCAGGCCTTGGAAACCCAAGTGTTGGGTGCTTGTGGCCAGAAGCATGCTTTATTATATCTGGGTTTGAGACCAGGCGGTGCTAGGGAAGTGTGTGCTCTCCAAGCAGGCGGGGCTCTTCCGCCCCAGACCGACAAGAGAGCGCCTCGAGAGGCAGGGGCGTGTCTCCCTCCCTGGTCTCCCTGACAGTGTGCTAATACACACGCACAGTTAACGTGAGTTTCTAATTCTCCCCTTGCCTACAAATGCTGCTCTGTGTAATCTCTCATGTCAAGGCATCGCGTTCCCAAGTCGGAGCTGATCCAGGAGCATTGGCAGGGAGTGTGGGCAGTGAAGAGGGGACTCTCCCAAAGAGCCTGCACAGGTAGGTGGCTGAGAGCAGCCGCAGGGCACCAGGGGGCGTGGCCGAGAGCAGCCGCAGGGCACCAGGGGGCGTGGCCGAGAGCAGCCGCGGGGCACCAGGGGGCAACTGTGCTGACCCACGGGTCTCGGTTGCTGAGATCACGCAGCTCTCACCTGTGGTCCCCTGACTTCACACGCACCCCACTCACGCTGCCCTTTTCAGACAACTCAGCTGTGTGAATGGTTGCCATGGACTTGGCTGTGCAGGTGTCTGGCCCTGTGCCGAGCTGATTTAGACACCTTTGGGTAAAGCCAGGAGTGGTGTAGCCGGATCATATGTCAATCCCGTTCCCGGCGCTTTAGAAGCCTCCAGTATGATTTCCAAAGCGGTGGCATGTAGGCCGACTTTTCTTTCCCTCCAGCCAGTTCCCAAATCACAACTTGGAGACTTGTTATTAACCATAAATGTTATGCGTGTACGGCATGCCCATCCCCTGCCTCCTCTGCATCTTGTTTGAGACTCCTCGGACTCCACCTTCCTTCTTCTTTCCAGAATTCTCTTAGTCTGGCTCTCCCACCTAACCTTATCCGTCTAATCTTGGCCTCTTAACTAAATCAACCACAGTGACATAGTCACACAGCGTAAAGGAATATTCTGCAGTGGCACTGATTTACATCTCCACCAGCAGTGCGTTGGCCCCGTCCTCACGAGCATTTGCTTTTGTTCGTAGTCTTGCTGGTGTAGCTATTCTGGTTGGGAGAGATGGGCTTATATTGCGTTAACAGATGACGTTTGGGAACCTCTCCTCCTGTAGATCCTAATGTGAAGATTTGCACAGTGTGATGTCACTGGTTTCACACAGATGCCGTTGGCCTCGTGTCTGCGCTGCTCACTTGGTCCTTCTTGACGGCAGCAGAGCCAGCATGTCTGCGCTTGTCACCCCCTTCACGCTGGCACATGCCGAATCCTGACAGTGTTTGTCCTCTGTCCCCACCTGTCTCCTGCCTCCTTCCCACAGGCCTCCCCTTCTCCACCTTTGGCTTGGCGTTCCGTATCATCAAACCTCTGTACCTCGTCCTCACTTAGTAGAGTGTCCGCCTGTCTGTGTCCCCAGACCCATCCCTCAGTTCCTCTACTTGGTAACGCTGACTCTCCCTTAGAAACAGGGTCACATGCCAGTATTTTTGTGTACCCTCTGCTGATCTCTCTGTCTAGGCCGAATTAGGTGCAGCTTCTCTCTGTTTTCATAGCATGATGATGCTTCCTTTGACCACGCTAACTGCATACATTATACCCGTCGCTTCTCCCACCTCCCCCGTTCTGGAGTCTGGAGTGACTTCTCCACTCATGGTTCTCTCCCCCCTCTCCCAGCTTTTCCTACTAGGTTTCTACTGGAAAACATTAAGAGCCTAAGCATGAACGAATGAAAAAGAATTTACAAACATGGTTTTAAGACAAGAGTGGCTGGGCGTGGTGGTGCACACCTTTAATCTCAGCACTTTCTGGAGGCAGAGGCAGGTGTATCTCTGTGAGTTCAAGGCTAGTGTGGTCTACAAAGTGAGTTTCAGGATACCAGAGCTGTTATACATAGAAATACTGTCTTAAAAAAAACAAGACAAAAGACATATTGAATGCAATAATAGCCTTCAGAGGTAATGTTTTCATCTTCTTCTGCATTGGTGCTTGTTTAGTTTTGTTTACTAATAAATAGACACCTGTTCTTGTTGGATTTCCTTTAGATGAAGAAGCAAAATCCAATGCTTGTCAGCTATTCCCAGAACAAGGATCGCAGAGGTCCTCAGAGGACTCCAAGTTAGGGCAGACCGAGCATGAAGAATCGTGCTCAGAAACACCAGCTGGAAGCAGAAGAGCAGCAGACTCCTCCAAGGAGCCGTGCCTCGGAGAGCTGAGTCATAAACACGATGTTCTGGAGACAGATGACGGTCTCTGTGTACAAGTCTCACAGGCACAAGCAACCCTACGGGATTCTGACCATGATCCCCAAAGATCAGAAAAAGAGCCTGTGGTTGAGGTAGGGAGCCTTTATCATTGTAAAGACTGTGGGAAAGTGTTTAGGACTAATTGGACCTTAGTGTGGCATTAACAGATTCATGCTGGAGGAGAGCCTTATGAATGCAGCGATTGCGGGAAACTCTGTCGTGACATGGCCGACTTTATTCGGCACGTGAGGATTCATAGTGGGGTGAGACTACAGAAGTGCGCCTTTAAACGCGGCTCTCCCCTCAGCGAGACCAGTGGATCCACACTGGAGATAAGCCCTACCTGTGCAAAGCATGTGGGAAAGCTTTCTCTCACCGTTCCACTCTGATCCAGCACAGGATGACGTGCTCCGCAGAGAAGCCTTTCCTGTGCAAAGACTGTGGCGGAGCGTTTTACTCCAGCTCCTCATGTGCCCAGCACACGAGGATCCATGCTGCAAAGAAGCTGTACGCGCACAGCCGGTGCGGGAAGTCCTTCACACACTCCTCCACTTTGGTAAAACGTAGGAGAACCCACCCTGGAGAAAAGCCCTTTGTGTGCAAAGACTGTGGCAAAGCCTTCTGTGCCAACTCATCCCTCACCCAGCACCTGAGGATCCACACCAAACACGCTAGGACCCTTAGCGGAGCAAAACCCTTGGAATGCAAAGAGTGTGAGAAAGCCTTTCGCTATAGCTCCTCCCTCATCTGACACATGAGGACTCACACCCACCGGAGAGAGGCCTTATTTTTGCAGAGTGTGGGAAGGCCTTCGCTCAACCTGCAAACTTTCTTAGGCATAGTAGGACCCACACTGGAGAGAAGCCCTTCGAATGCACCGTCTGTGAGAAGGCCTTTTATGACACCTGTGCCTTAGTTAGGCACATGAGAACTCACGCCAGAGAAAAACCCTTTGAATGCAACGAATGTGGGAAGACCTTCAGCCATAATTCATCCTTTATTCAGCACCGAAAGACTCATACCAGGGTTTAAAAGATCCGGGCCACTGTTCACCTCCGTCCACTTGAAGAAGCACACGCTAGCAAGACATCTCCCAGTGTTATGATCAGGGAAAATCTCATGGCCAGAAATAATTTAGTTTCTGGAAATTCATACTGGAGAGACACATGATTGTCATCCCTATAGCCAGTCATCACTTTTGCCATCTAAAGAATTGTAACTAAATCTTTTCATCAGCCAATCAATAGCTAAGCATTTTTCTATTTAAACACATCCTAGTATGTCAATATATTTATAATTACTGTTCCTTATAATAAAGATAATCATGCTTTTTTAATGTAGTGGACTCAAACACATGATTTGCTAATTTGTTACATACATGAATGTGCAGTACACGTGTGTTTAGCTCTTATGAACAGGAAACAGTACCATTTACAAGGCTGTATTTACAATGCAGCCACACAAATATACTGCTGAAACTTGAAGCCAGAGTAAACAACTCTCATTAAAATTCTAATTTGTTAAAGCTTCAGGGAATGTGATTGGAAAGTGTTCCTTGTGATTCAACCTCTTCCTCTTGGCTTGAAAGAGAGGGCCACGCAGTGGCATAAGGAGAAGACAGTTGTTCACACGCTTCATGGACTCCTTGCCAAATGTTGACAGCATCAAGTTTCCCTCTGTACTGGCTTGAAAACTGGAGCAGCCACATCTATATATTTATATTTTCATATAAAATGTGTGTGTGTGTTCAAACATATGGGAGATAGTGAGGTTGGCGTTGTAGTTTGAGGCTGTATTCATTAGTAGGATTTCATTTTTACCTGGTTGAAAAGTGTACTGTCTTAGGGATTCTATTTCTGTGAAGAATCACAATGACCATACCAGCTCTTATAAAGGAAAATATTTAATTGGGGCTGGCTTACAGCTTCGAAAATTTAGTGCATTATCATAAAGGCATGGCAGCACACAGACAGACATTGCTGGAGAAGGAGTTGAGAGTTCTGCATCTTTGATCTGCAGGCAGCGGAAGGAGACTGCATCACACTGGGCTTACTTGAGCGTATGAGACCACAAAGTCCACCTCTACAGTGACACACTTCCTCCAACAAGGCCACACCCACTCCAATGAGGCCACACCTCCTAAGAGTGCCACTCCCTATTGGCCAGACATTCAAATGCATGTGTCTACCGGAGGCCATTCAAACCATCACATGCGTTCAGTCTAGAATCCCATGATGATATAATACCTTAGCTGCTGTGAGAGGAAGGGGACATGGATTCAGCTGTCTGATCACTGACTTCTGCACCCCACTTTGGATTTCCCCCAGGTCTTCATTAGTGGACTGCGGGGTCTCACCTACTAGAACACCTTCCTCTTCAGACCACCAAAGCCTCTCTACTTACTGGCCATGCAGTGCGTGTGGTCTGATAACTGTGGATTGAGTTTTCTATAATTCTTTAAACAGCTTTCACGGAGTACAGCCACATATTTTCCAACAGTCACATATAGTAGCTTAACACTAACCCAAGGCGTCACAATGGAGAACACTTCACATGGTGACTGGCTTCCATTAGTTTGGCAATGTGGCTTTGGATTGATGTTGAGAGCCTTTTGGGCCCGGCTGTGAAGTTCCCACATGTTGAAGTACCTTGTAAGCTTTTAATTATTACCTGAATTAGTGGATGTGAAAACATCCGCTGGGATGTAAATTTTCAAGTCCTCTGTGACCATGAAACGAGGCATTATTCACCTGGAAAGGCATTTCTTTTTGCCTTGGAGACTGTACTCAGCTTGACTGGGGTAGCTGTGAGAACAATGTCAGTCTTTCTGAGGTACCTGTGCTATTTTTCTCCAGTGTACAAAGAACTGGCTTATAGAGCAAGTCTTTCCTTCTTACATGCACAATAATTTAAGGTTCCATATACTGATATAGAGAGTCGCCTTTAAAATCACCTTTGATGACTGCCACAGTAGAGATGTGTGTTTCTGTCAACAGTAAAGTGGAGGACATTTTTTTCATTGTATTATTCATTTTATTTTATTTTTACAAAAGTTTATTACAATGTACAACAGGCTCCAGGATGACACTTCATTCTAGCTGTAGGTGGCAAGGATGTTATAGTAGGGAATCCAGATGTTTAATAGGCTCCAGTATAATACTTCATTCTATCTGTGTGTGGCAAAGAGGCTATGGCAAGGGATCCAGATGTTTAAGTAGGAATGGAAGAGGGTCACCATGGTCTCAGGTATGAAGGACAGCTTACGTTTTCCCATATTTCTTAATTCCAGCTGTGGCCAGTGGTCCCTTCCCCACAGCCTTGGCTTTCAGCTCCTTGAGTTTCTTCTGCTCCTCTTTTTGTTTCTGCTTGAGAGCCTTATCTTCCTTGGCCTGCTTCTTGGGCTGTTTTAGGGGCTTCCTTTTGCCGCCTTCGAGGCCCGACATGACGTCCACAGACAGCCCCTTCCCGGACCAGGATCTGGAGCCAGTGGAGGGCATTTTAAGAGTGAGGAGACAGCATCATGAGAAGAAATGCATGAGTCTCCCACACTGGGAAACAGATTACCTCCCACTTCTCTATGTTCCTCCGCTCTACAAATCAAAGGGGGTGTGACACTCGGGGGACACACAAAGCAGATGAAGAGCTATTGGCTCTGGCTCCCCCTGGACACTTAACTTCATCTGGGTGGCCAAGTCGATTGATGGGGCTTCTCGTTCGTGGGAGAGGCGTCTATACAAGGCTCTGTTCCACTCCTTTCTCATCGTGCTTGTCTAACGGAATATAAGGTGATTACCATATGATAACGAATGGACAACTCCATAGGCTACATCTCTGGAGGTTCCCATGTGTATAAGTCAGAGAAACACTGCACAGGTCCAGAAATAGAGTATCACAGTCACTGACGGGCTCCTTTGTAGTTCTGTCAAGACCCTCTGTAACAGACTCAGTGTTGGGACTACCACTCTTTAGCCTTAAGGACATATGGACAGAACTCATTATTGACACTTGTCATGTTTGTCTTTATATTTTTTAAGTGCATGTCTACTGTAGAAATGAATAGACGTAATGCCATTTTTCATACGTGTATAGGACATTACCTTAATCCTGTGTGCTTCTCATTACTCTCTCAACATATCACCACGTGGGCAGCCTTTCTCCATGGTCTCCTTTTTGCTTTCATGGCTTCTTTGCTGTTGTTATTCTGTGCCCTGCACATGTCAGGAAGCATGACAATCGTCATTCTGTGGTCATGGCCGGCAGTTACTCAGGGCCCTTGAGATATACCCTATGCTCTGCTGACTTTCAGCATTCCTGCTCCAAGTTGTGATGTCACCACTGCTTGCTCGCTTTTAACAAGTTTTTAACCTTTTAAGTTTCCTGTAATTATGTGCATGTGTCCATATAGAATTTACTTCCTGTAAACTGTAACCTCTGTGAGAAAGCTCTACTTGTTTTAATGTTATAGTCAGCAAAGTGAGTCACATGAACAAAGACGTTACTGCTTGTTTATGAAACATGCACATTCTTGGGCTTACCTCACACTAACTAACACAGAAACTCTTGGTTTGGAGATTAGCAATGTATAGCAAGCTCTCCCAATGATTCTGAGGTATAACTGAAGTTCTCTACCCTGAGTGGTTATTATAGTTCAGCCCATAACAATATATAGAATACGTAAATGATGCTCGAATTTCTTTCCTTGAAATGTTTTCATGAAGCCCACTGGAAATACACTGTAATATATTTTCACCGAAAGAATGATACTCTTAGCAGGGCGTTGGCGGCACACACCTTTAATCTCAGCACTGAGAGAGGGAGGGCAGAGGCAGGTGAATCTCTGTGAGTTAGAGGCCAGACTGGTCTATAAAGTGAGTTCCAGGACAGACTCCAAAGCAATACAGAGAAATCCTGTCTCGAAAAACCAAAAAAAAAAAAAGACACTCTTAGCAGAGACCAGGACATGTTTCTCCTAGGGTTTCCAGTCTTGAAAGAGTATACTGTGGCTAAAATTAGTTTAAGAAAAATTGTACAAGAAGCAGTGGTAGAGTTGGAGAGATAGCTCAGTGGTTAAGAGCACTTGCTGGTCTTCCAGAAGATGTAAATTCAGTTCCCAGTACCCACATGGCAGCTCACCTGTAATTTCAGCCCCAACAGGTCTATCTGACTCCAAAAGACTAACCATCCTCACATGCCAATTAGCAAAATATGCTTCCTACATAGAGCTGAACATGCAAGCTAGTGATCTAAGAAATACATATTTAAAATGCTTGCTTGGTCTGTAGAATTATGATTTCTATGTTCTTCAGGTTGTTCAACTGCTGATCTGATGTCCAGCAAAATAACCCTCACTGAATGCTGCTATAGTTCTTTCATCCGATTTCTCTCTGGTTTGGCAGGCCGTACACCACCTGTGATCTCCATCCAGCTGTGCTGCACAGTGACAGCCAGCCTCACATTTCACTGACACAGTCAACAGGTCTGGTGAGATACCTGGGAATTCTTAAAGGTGGGAATTAGTTAAAACAAGAGAGAAAAGAGGGCTTTTTTCTCCCCATGTTAAAAATGAAAAATATTATGATGCACAAAGTTAGGTCTCTGTATAGTTCCACAATGGGTGGTTTGAAAATGAAACAATTAAATGAAGGGATAGTCAACTTAGCTAGGATTGACATAATGTTAATTATCATTTTGGCAATTCTTGTTTTACCCCTAAGAGAGTTGTTTGATATCAGTGCCAAATATGAAACATTGATAAGATGAAATCCTTAGAAAGACTAATGGAACTAAGAAAAATATTCACGCATAGATAGAGGAGTTTAGAGCAGAAGTTACCCCACCATGGCATTATGGAACCTGACAAGGAGCTTCCCAAGGTCATTATAAAACCAACCTCAATTTATCCAGTTACTATTCAAGAATGACCACCAGATGACATGCATCCCCAAGGCTACACAGAAACTAACTGGGATCCTATAGTAATGTTAGATTTGAGGAGATTTAAGGAAGCATTTGTTGTATATTCACCATTTGTGAAGCAGATGTTAAATTCATGGGGCACCTAAAATAGAATTATTTCAGGAGACTGGAAAGAGTTAGTTACAGCAGTATTAGAAGCTGGTCCTCAGTTACAGTGGAGAACATGATTGAGAGATGAAGCTAAGGCCATCAAACAATGAAGTAGGGTTAGAGGTTGTGAGGTTTTCTAAGATGGAATCCTTGGTGAGGGTTGTTATGCTGATGTGGATAGACAGATTACATTTGATAATCACACCTTGGCCCTATGTCATACAGAAGCTTTGAATCCTTGGGGCAAGATTTAAGAATCAGGAAACAGGACTGAGCCATTTAATAAAATTACTGATTTTTTTATAGAGATTGACTTCAAGTCAGGCAGTGGTGGCACACAGCTTTATCCCAGCACTCAGGAGGCAGAGGTAGGTGGATCTCTGTGGGTTTGAGGACAGCCTGATGTACAGAGTGAGTTCCAGAACAGCCAGGACTACACAGAGAATAAAACAACAAAAACATGATTGTCTTCAACTATAAATAGAATGGTATCAAATATAAAAGTTAGACAAATATTAATTGAATCGTCTGTTTTAAAAATGCTAATTCAGAATGTAGCTGATCAGGCCTTTAAAGGCAAGATCAGTCTATAGATGAATGGATCTGAAATACAGTTGATATTGAATCTCATGCTTATGATGGTACTTGATAGAAGTGATGTTAGATGTTGTAATTATGGCAAACCAGGTGATATAAAAAGGGATTGTAGCTAAGGCATTTCTAGGAACAATGTTTTTTCTAGGGTTATCCTAACAGAAGGTCCCAGCCTTTTGGAATATGTAGAAGGTGTGGCAAAGGCTGACACTGGACATGAATGCAGATCAACATGGGACAGTCAAGGTAACATTTGCCATCAGGAAAATGCCTTAGAGGGCCTCCAGAAGGTCCCCATGTCACATTCAACCATTCCCTGTCAGCATGAGGGAAACTCCTCCCCAAAATAATCAAACAACCTACTGCCTGTTGTGAAAAACCATACTGCTCTGGATGACACAATAGTTTTAGAAGATAAAACAGAATTTTCGGTCACTCACTACCATGGCACCCGCGCTGGTCCTTGTCTCCTTGGACCAGCTTGAATCCTTCACTGGTGGTCAGGAACTTGATCTGTTGGACAAACTCAACGACAGTGACCAGGATAGATGGACAGACAGACAAGTGCATATGGATTTGAAACTTTATTTCAAATCCAAAATATGTTTCTCTTCTAGAATAAAAAACTTTTGAATGTTGAAAAAATTATTCTGTTGCCATAGAATTGTTTTTCTTTTAAAAATTTGAAAATTGAGCTGCTGCCGTTGGAGCCTTGGCCCTGCACCTTCCTGGAGAGGTGAGTGCTGGGCTTTCTCCTGTCTCCACCCCTTCACTGGAGGCCCTTGGCTGGGGCATGTAGCCCCATCCTGCCCACTGAATCCCCAGAGACCAGGGGCCGCTGAAACCATCCAGCATCTGCCACCATCAGAGCCTTGACCCTGCACCTACTGGAAGAAGAGGATGGGAAGAAGACAGGATAAGAACACACTCAACAACAGAAACACTAATGTGACACCACCAGAGTCTCGGGGTTCTACACCAGCAAGAGCTGGACATCCAATGCAGATGAAGTAGAAGAAAATGACCTCAAAAACAACTTTATGAAGATGATAGAGGCCCTTGAAGAGAAAATGAGAAAATCCCTTAAAGAAATGGAAGAAAAGACAGACAAAAAAGGAAGAAACAGAGGAAAAGACAAACCAAAAAATGCAATAAATCAACAAGTCTCTTAAAGAAAGAAAGACAATCTTACAGGTGAAGGAAACAATTCAAACAGTCCAAGCCATGAAAACTGAAATAGAGACAATAAAGAAAACACAACTGAGGGAATGCTGGAAATAGAAAATCTGGGTAAATGGTCAGGAACTACAGATGCTGCTGTTTCTTCTTCTTCTTCTTCTTCTTCTTCTTCTTCTTCTTCTTCTTCTTCTTCTTCTTCTTCTTCTTCTTCTTCTTCTTCTTCTTCTTCTTCTTCTTCTTCTTCTTCTTCTTCTCCTTCTCCTTCTCCTTCTCCTTCTCCTTCTCCTCCTCCTCCTCCTCACCCTTCCTCCTCCTCCTCCTCCTCCTCCTCCTCCTCCTCCTCCTCCTCCTCTTCTTCTTCTTCTTCTTCTTCTTCTTCTTCTTCTTCTTCTTCTTCTTCTTCTTCTTCTTCTTCTTCTTCTTTTTTGTTTGGTTTTTTGAGACAGGGTTTCTCTGTGTAGTTTTGGAGCCTGTATATATCTCACCAATAAAATTGTCTCAGGACTGTATTGGGTATAATTGAATAATTGCGCTTCTAGTTGCCTTGTATTTCACAGCTGATTTTCTAAGACAATATTTACTCTAGATGTAGATTTTTTTTAAC